AGCCTTCAGTCCTGATCTAAACGGATCTCCTAATTTTCTCTGCTTGCTTCTGCCCCAGCCCTCTGCTAACTGAATGCCTTCCTCCCCACCGCTGAAATCTGATCCCACTCCTCTGAGCTTAGAAACATGACTTAAATCATGTTTCTCCACTCAAAGCCTCCCCACTCTGGATTTTTCTTGTTGATTAAATTGTCACTACTTATTTTGATTTTTAACCAAATACTCTCTGTTCAGTTAAACCTTCTGAATGTGCATCCACCCCAAAGCTGGCACCTCAGGGTATTTGTTTTGCAAGTTCAGAGCTTTGGAGATTAAGAAGGCCATGAAAGGGGAGTGAGTCCTGCAATTGCTGTGCCATGTCACCAAGTGGTGCCACACATTCTCAGCACGAAGGGCACAGGAGCTAAGAACACTTTTCCTGAATCAAATGGTAGGTTTCTGCCTGATCTTTCTTCAAAACACAAGTTCCAAAACATAATAGAGAAACAGTTAAAATCACTTCCAATTAGACAGTCACCTACAGGCAGTACCTCTGTAGAGCAAGCATCTGTGGGTGCGTGCATGGGGACACGAATGTGTGGGGACACACTGTAGGACACAGACAAGTTCTTTTCTATGGTTTCTTAATTATTTCCAAAACTCTGAAATTTTCAAAATTTGCTGTTTTTACATAGTCTAAAATTTCAAGTTTACTACTTTGCTGGCAAGAGTTTTATATGACTACTCTTGAGGCTCAGAAGTAGAAATATTCATGATTCTGAATGAAATTGTGACACAATAGGTTTGGGTTTTTTGGTTTGTTTTTTTCCCACTCTTCCTTGTCACATGACTTTTCAACTCCTCGCACTTTTTTCTCTGGTCATTTTTCCATATTAAATATATAAGTCACTATTTCATAATCAGGAGAAAAAAATTCTTGCATATTTTCCAGTGAATAGAATACAGCATTCAACCACTGAGAAAAATTCAACTTAATTTTACTCTCCCATGGCTGTAGTTTTGGTAGTTTTTATTTGCTGGCCTGAGTTGCTAATTTAACAACTATCACCAGCTTTTTTTGACTGTCAGGCACAAGTGTGCATGTGTGTGTGTGTGTGTGTGTGTGTGGTTGATTTATACTAAATATAAAGTGACAGCATCCTTGTTGGGGAACAGAAAAACGACAGGTTTTATCATACTCAATAACCAAATTATAAGTTTCTATATAATTTTCTCTTCTTTGCACCTCTCTCAATTTAGCACTAGTATTTAAATAGTATAGTAGTACTGAATTAAAATTCTGTTCTATAATTCAAACATTAGAATGTATCAGTTCACTGACTGTTATGGAAAACCTATTGTTTACCATTAATATTAGCCCTACTCATATCCATTTATCTATTGAAAATGAAAATTTTAATTATAAGGCCAATGAATGATTAGTAATTAAATAAATGACATTTAATATCTGTTGGTGAAGGTTCAAGATGGTTAAACTGCTAATTTCTCAACACAGTATACTTATACACATACACAAAGAAAAGTACTTCAACAGACTCATTTTCTTCTGTGATGAGAGTCTCATTCTCTCTTTATAATCAAGTGCCTAAAACTCATGACTCAATAAACTCCTAGAAAAGAAGGGACACAGCATGGATCCATCGGCTCCCAGGAACAGAAACACTGTATTAGCCTGGCCTTCCTCTCCTGTCACCCAGCCCTCTGGACCCAGAGGAGTTGGGTGGCAGGGCTGCTGTATTAATCATCTATTGCCACGCAACAAATAATCCCAAAACTCAGCGGCTTAAAGTGGAAAACACTATTTCACAGTTTTGGACATTCAGGAATCCAGATGTGATGACATGGTAAATGACACTGGATCAGATTCTGGAAAATAGATGATTCTTTTTATTGCATTTTTTACATATTATGTATTGTAATTCTATATCATAGGCAACTACAAACAAGTAGTACACTTAATTTTGCGTGACCACTACATTTCCCCAGAATGTCTTGTTCCATTGTAATTTCAAGTCTCTTGTACACAATATTGAATTATTATCTTTTAATGTCTGTATAACTTGCCACGTTATCACCGCTCACATCACTGGTAATGTTAATTAGCTTATTTCCTTTGTTTCCTGATTGCTTTAGCTAGAGATCTATTTAATTAATTTTCTCAAAGAAACCGATTTTGGGTTTACGGATTTTCTTGACTGTTTTTCTGATTTTGTTTCATTCCTTTTTGCGCTGGGTTTTATTATCTCCTTCCTTTCTTCTGCGCAATTTGGGCTTAATCTTCCCCCCCACCTCCTTGAGCTGAACTACTGGCGTGAAGGTGTTCTGGTTCTAGGACAGGTGTCCCGCGTGGTAGACCTGCTCTTCCACACTGCTCCGGGGACACCCCAGACAGATTGAGACGTCGTGTTTTCCTTTCCATTCAGTGAAGAATATTTTCCAACCTCTCCTTGATTCCTTCTTCAACACCTTAGTTACTTGGTTCCCAAATGTTTGAGATTCCCACAGATGTCTCAGCATTGCTAGTTCAACTCAGTGGTGATCAGAAGGCATCCTTCATATGACCTGAACTCACTTTACCTTACTGACCCCCTGCTATTGACCCCAAACATAGCATATTTTGACAAAGGTTTCCACGGCTACCTAAAACTACATTCTGATATTGCTGGCTAGAGTGATCAATCAGTGGAAATCAAATGACATCATTTGCTGGTGACGTGGTGGTAGAATTCCATGACCAAAACAGTAACTTCCAAAGTGGCTATATGCACCCTGGAAGATATGCAGAATGGTCTCTTGGGTCCAGAAGGACTGATTTAAGAAGTGACTGATTTAATATATAATATACAATTTACAATAAAGGTGAGTCAAGAAATTAAGCTTGTTAATATTTACAGACTGATACTGTCACACACCTTTTTAAAAAAATTTTTTTTAGTTGTAGATGAACTCAACACCTTTATTTTGTTTATTTAACTTTATGTGGTGCTGAGGTTCCAACCCAGTGTATCACACATGCTAGGCAAGTGCTCTACTGCTGATCCCCAGCCCCAGCTACACACACCTTTTTTTGAAACTTCTTGTATATTCTGACGTTCAGGTGGTTTCCCTTATTGAAATGCTTGTGACCAAAGGAGTTTTGGGTTTCAGATTGTGTTAGCTCAGCAGTGGCACAAAATACCTCAGAAAGTTAACTTGAAGGAGGAAAGGTGCCACAGTCTGGCTGGGCACAATTCACGAGCCACTTATCAAGCAGAAACGAACATTATTTTTAGAACACACACACACACACACCACACCACCCGAGCTCTTCAGGAATTCCCTCAGAGCCCAACTGCCACCACCGGCTTCCCACAAGCCTCTCACCCCCACCCCCATCCTCCTGCTCTTGAGGCTGATTGGCTGGGTCGTGTGGGCGGAGCCAAAAAAGTCCCCCAATGAGCAGCTCCGTGGTCTGAAAGGGCAGGGAAACAGCCCAATGAGCATCACCGCAGAGGAGCCAATCAGCTGGCAGCAGGAAGTTTGCTGGGGTCCCTTTGGCTGTGACTCTCAACAGAAAGGCTTATTTTGGCTGGAGGTTCTGTGGTCACTTGGGCCTGTTCTTGGGTCTGGGGTATGCGATGGGAGCATGTAGCAGAGGAGACTGCTCACCCCACAACCGCAGGAAGTGACAGAAGAAGGGGCCGGCCCAGTACCCCCAAGGCATGCCCCCAGTGACCCAAGCCTCCCCGGAGCCCACCTAGGAAGGACCTACGGGCTGGAACCAAGCCTCTAAACATGGGCCTTTGGGGACCACCACAGACCCAGATAGCAGCGCGGGGTGTTAGGTTTGGGGTGTGTGCACATGCTGGACGACTTTGGAATGTTTTCGTGAGCTTGCTTCTTGGGGATGGGATTCACGTCTAAACATGAGATTCACTCATATCACACACACCTTATCAACACACACTGAAGGTGACTTTATACACCTTCAGTAATTTTGCACGTGAAGTGAAGTTTCCTGCTGCAGCTGTAGGAACGAGGAGGACTTCCTCCCTGGGGGATGCTGAAGGACATGTATGTTGTGCCCTGTGTTGCTCCTCATTTTGCTATATTTGCAGTAGTACGTGGACAGCATGCCTTTATTGTGTTTGGTTTTTACATGGTGCTAAGGATGGAGCCTGATGCTTCACAGGGGCCAGGCAAGCGCTCTGCCACCGAGCCCAGCCCCAGCCGGGCACCAGTGTTCTGATTGCAGCCCACTCAAGTCAGGTGCGGAATTTCCCATTTATGGCATCATATTGGTGCTCGAAAGTCTTTGGGTTTTGAAACATTTGGAACTTTGGACTTCCAGGTTAGGGGTGCTCGACCTGCGTTGCATTTCTACAGGGGGTCGCAAATGCTCAGTTCTATGTTTTAAAAAGAACTGTGAGGGACAGGCCCTTGGCAGCACTTGGCGTGGGGTGGGGACACCATGCAGTTCCTCAGCCCCACATGAAAGATCCCTTGCACATCTTTCTCCCCTGGAAGAATTCTTGAAAGGATCTCCAGGTCTCAGGGACTGCTGTACACAGATCACTTTATTTGCAGCTCATGATACATGAGCATGAACAATAAGCTGTAGGCCGTGTGCAGTCCAACCAGTCGCCTGAGTGGCGATCCCATACTTTTCTGAGGATTTGTTGTTTGTTGCTGACTTATTATCTTACCATTTTATTGGTTCTTCCTCCCAACAAAAGGTATTAATTTTTTATCCCTTCTTGCTTTGTTACCTTATCCAGGCAGATCCCAAACTCTTATTACAGATTCCTACCAACTGGGAGTCTAATGAGGCCGATGGGCGGTAGGTGCCGTGTGCAGCTGTAGTTATTTACCTCATTTAAAATTAAAATGGCTTTTTGACCATCTGCTCTTTGGTTAAGATTAGCTTATCTTTCCTGAAATAAATGTCCTTGGTGCCTTTTCATAAAAATTTTAAACTCCTGTGGTAAATATAGTACGTTTTTGTTAATCACAGGCTTAAGACAAAATGAGGTTTCATTTCTTTAAAGGTAGCAGAAATAGACTTAATTTATACAAAACTTGTAGACTGACCTTAATGATATCAAAAACATGAGCATTTATTGATAATATTGAAAATAAAAGCTACTAAAACTCTAAGCTAAACAATACCAATAAAAGTTTGGTCAAAGACCATTTTATTCAAGAAAACATCAAAACATTCCTTACTGCAGTCTTGATCAGGTGCCCACATACAGACCTAGAGGTTACAAAAGTATTATAAAGCCATATTACTCTCTTGGTCTCTCTTTGTAGTCTGTACAAGAGGATTGGAAGTGTTGCTTGTCCAGGCATGTTGGTACACGCCTGTAATCCCGGGAGGCTGAGGTAAGAGGATCACCAGTTCAAAGCCCGCCTCAGCAATTTGGCAAGGCCTTAAGCAACTCAGTGAGACCCTGTCTCTAAATTAAATACAAAAGAGAGTTGAGGATGGGGCTTGGTGGTAAAGCACCCTGAATTCAATCCCCAGTACCAAAACAAAAAAAGTCTTACCTTTGAAGGAAACACAGTGTTCCTCTCTGCTGCCTCCTGTGACTGTGCGGTGGTCACATGGCACACAGCTCATCTTCAAGTGACACAGACAACTTCTCCTTCAACAAGATAAAGGCTCACACACTTAGGGAGTTGGAAAAAGTGAGCAAAACATGCATGTTTCTTCCCGGGAACAGCAGGAGCCTGAGTTTCCTGTTCGAGGACACCCAGGGCTTGTCCAGGGTGGCCTGGTAAGGCTCTGCTTGGCCAAGGGAGCGGCCTGCAGCTCCAGCCCCCTCTCCTGAACTGTGTGCCCAGGCAGCTCGGGCCCTTTGCTGAACCAGCCCTTTGCTCTGCTGTGGGCAAGGGAAGGCAGCCTGGGCACTGCCCCAGGGTTCTCATCAGCGCGTCTTTGAGGGTCACCCTCCTCCCTCACATGTAACTTATCGAAGGTTCCAATTCTTCAAACCCCAGAACTTTGCCTCTTGAAGTCCACACATTTCCCGGGTCTGGGGACCCATGTTTCCAGCCCCAGCTCCTCTGCCAAGCCACCGCATTTCTGTTTGTAACAGAAAAAGTGTGTCCATGTGTCCGCACGGTTTACAACAATCTGGGCGGATCTCCTGTGTAGTGAAGTTGGCCTGACTTCATCCTGACTTCCAGATTTATTCTCTGACAGGGTCAACACCCGCCCCCCCATGGAAGGCAGCCCTGTGAGCACGTCTCGCTGGCCTCAGGACAAAGGCTGGGGTCACCGAGCCAGGCCTCCCCAACCCCGGACATGAAGGCTTCGGCCAGACTTCGCTCAGTGCAGCTGCAGTTAACCACAATCCACTTCTGCCCAAAAATGTGAAATGGAAACTTCCAGAAATAAATAACCTGTCAGTTTTACTGAGCACCGTTGTGACTAACGTGATGTGACCTCACGCACACAGTCCTGCTCAACCCTGCCCAGATGGGAACCATCCCTTGTCACCTGCCTGCTGCCCTGAGTCACTTAGCAGCTGACTGGCAGGGAATGCTCATGTTTGGTGACCCAATATTATTGATAATATTGAAATTTATTTACCTAATAAATTTATTTACCTAATAAAGGAGGGGATACTCCTCACCCCCCTCTGTGGCACGGTGGCACCTCACTTGGCCACAAGAGGAGCGGTGGGTGCAGTGCCCCATGCTCTGGGAGGAAGATGCGTTCACACAGGCTTTCCTTCGGTAGAGGGCTGCGGTCATTCTGTTTCACTATTAGTCCTGGTTGTCCCCATTGCTGTGACTGGTGTGCAAGTCCACCTTTACCATCTGCCAAGGGAAAGAACGTCCGGCTCAGCCCCGTTCAGATGTCCAGTGGGGACTTGGAGCAAGGCCCCACAGGCAAGGGGCCACCACAGGGACAGCTTGGTCTTTGTTTGTTTGGGGCAGCTCTTCTCACAGAAAAAAAAAAAAAATTCTGCTTACTTACCAACCTTACCAACGTGGTGCTTTGACATTTGTTGGTGACATTGTTGACTCGTGGACCTGTATAGAAACTAATCATTGCCCCAGGTCACCCGAGAAACTTCCTGTGATGTCACCTGTCTCAGCTATGGTGCCTGGGAGCGGCCACTCCACGCCCCGGTCACCCGCCTTGGCATCTGCGCAGGCTCCTCTGACAAGCTGACCTTAGGCGGTCCCACCCCTGGCTTCCCTCCCTAGACGATGCACAACTGCTACCCCAGGACCCCCGACCTGAAAGGAGCAGGGGTGGGTTGGGCACTCACCTGGGTCAGCAGAGCTTTTGAAACTTTTTTAAAGAAAAAAAGCTGATTAAAAAAATCACTTTCTTGGCTGCGCTGTGGCTCAGTGGTAGACTGCCTGCCTAGGACAGGTAAGGCCCTGGGTTCGATCCTCAGCACCACATAAAAAACAAACCAACAACAAATAAATAAAGGCTAGATTTTTTAAAAAATATAACTTGTCATTGCTTAAAATATTGAAGAACTAGAAACTATCTTAGTAACCAATGGTAAGAGCGCCTGGCAATGCACATGTGCCCAAGTTGTAAAGGCTTCTGTTTCTACCCATGTCACCAGCTGGATGGTGCCCACCAATGGAGGGGCTCCACTTTCTACTGGGATCTGTGTCCTTCCTCCTGTCTCAGGCGTCAAGGGGGCCTTCCACCGGTCCACTCTCCATCTGATGGGAATCCCATCCTCAGCTCCCGGCTCCAGGTGTCCTTCCATATACTGTCCCACTGGTTCAATCTTAATCTCTGTCAGCTAAACATCTTCAGATCTCTGTCACTTAAAAAAAAGAATAGCCTAAAAGGTAACATGCTTGTAATCCCAGCCACTCAGGAGGGAGGCTGAGGCAGGAAGATCCACAAGTTCAAGGCCAGCCTTGGCTACTTAAGGAGGCCCTAACCAACTCAGAGAGACACTGTCTCAAAATAAAAAATAAACATAGAAAGGGACGTGGAGGTGGCTCGGAGGTTAAGCACAGCTGGGTTAATATCTGGTACCAAAATGTAAATTAAGGAACCAGTGAATAAACAAATAAAGATAAAAACAAAGAAGTTGGTCTTGGCCTTGACAAGAATTCTTTCTCTGCTCTGAGGTGAAGTGTCTTAACAGCAAGTCTAATGACCTTCTCCTACTCGCTAAACTTGCCCAATCTGACAGAGGGTATCCAGGAGGGGAATATGGGGAAACCTGTGCCTCCCCAAGGCCTCCATAGTCACCCCAGCTCCCTCTCACCCGTGCCTCCCCCCCAGACACACCAGCACCCTCTCACCTTTGCCTCCCCAGGGCCTCCCCACAACACCCAGCTCTGATGTTTTGTCACAGAGGCAGAAAGCTGACTAATACCACTATGAGGTTGGGACTGGCTTAGAGACGTGCACCTTGCCTTGGCCTGTGTGGGCTGATAGCAAAGTACCAGAACAGGGTGAACTGAAAACAGCAAAAACATGTCTGTCAGACATCCAGAATGGGAAGTCCAGGGTCATGTGCTGGCAGGTCAGGTGTCCAGGGGGTCTCTCTGGCCTCGATTTTTGTGGACACTAACCCTATTAATGAGGGCTCTGTCCTCATAACCTGACCACTTCCAAAGGTCCCATCCCATCATACCACCCACTTGGGGGTCAGGATTTCAGCAGATAATGGGACCCGACAGCTAGACCACTGCTCACCCCAAGAGTGTGCTGAGTGGGCATGGGGGGCAGGTGCAGGTCGGGGGGCAGGCGTTGGGGAGCAGGCGTGGGGGGGCAGGTGTGGGGGGGCAGGCGTGGGATAGAGGGCAGGCATGGGGAAGCAGGCGTTGGGGGGCAGGTGTGGGGGGCAGGTGTTGGGAGCAGGCGTGGGGGTCAGGTGTTGGGGGGCTGGCATGGGGTGGAGGGCAGGCATTGGGGGGCAGGCATGGGGGAGCAGGCATCGGGGGGCAGGTGTGGGGCAGAGGGCAGACGTGGTGGGGGGCAGGTGTTGGGGGGCAGGCGTGAGGGGGCAGGTGTGGGGGGGCAGGCGTGAGGAAGCGGGCACTGCAACTGTCGTGAAGAAAGATGGCCGTCCTCCAGATGAACTGTAGCTGAACTGTAATGGATATTTAGTGTCTCAGAAGGATCTGGCGTCCCATCTGACATAGAAGACCCAGCCTATGTTAGGAGGGCCATAAGAAATGACTGCTACTGGACACTTTTTTACCTAAAAACTGGCATTTCATAGGGGTAACGGGACAGATTGAGGTGGAGGCCTTTCCCAGCCTCTCTGGTCTCTCTTGGGTCCTCCCTTCCTTTCCTTTTCCTGGAGTGGCCTGTGCTCTATCACCCCAGCCTGGCCCACCTCTTCATCTTAGCAGGCTGACATTGTTTTATTATTTGTCTAGCTTGTTCCTTAGTTATTTTAAAGTGCTTTTGTAAAGTATTAGCATTGACATGGAACTTTTTATGAAAATTTATAGCTTCTTCTAGTGTAGAGAAAATATGTATGTCATGTGTAGTTTTATCTGCTAAATCATTGCCCAAACTAAGGGCTCCAGGCAATCCTGTATGTGCCCTGATATGTCCTATAAAGAATGGATCTTTTCTGTCCCAGATTAGATTTTGTATAGTGGAAAGCAAAGAGAAAACAGTAGAAGAAGGGCAAATCCTACCAGCATCTTCAAGAGATACTATAGCATTAACTACATACTGACTATCAGAAAATAAATTACAGGATTTTGATTTCTAAGTGGCTGGATTACTTTGTTAACATAAATTTGACACATAGTTGGGCTGTTAGCCATCCCTTGAGGGAGTACTTTCCATTCATATCTCTGATCAGGACCTTCATGATTCAGTGCAGGGATAGTAAATGCAAAACGTGGACTATCCTCAGGATGAATTGGAATTGAAAAAAAACAATCTTTAATATCTATAACTAAAACATACCAGGTTTTTGGCAAAGCAGACAACTGAGGAATCCCTGATTGAGCAGGTCCCATAATAACCATCTCATTATTAATGGCTCTTAAATCTTGCAATAATCTCCATTTACCAGATTTCTTTTTGATGACAAAAATGGGAGTATTATGGGGAGATACAGAAGGTTGTATATGTCCTTCTGCTAATTGTTGTTTGACCAGGTCATGGGCTGCTTGTATCTTTTCTTTAGTCAGGGGCCACTGAGGAACCCATACTGGTCTTTCTGATTTCCAAGTAATTTTTATTGTCTCAGTGTGACCTTTTTACCACAAGTTAATCTTGGAGTCAATCCTAGAGGATTGATACCTAACCATATTTGGCAGCGGGCTCTGAGTCGAGGCTCTCAGAGGCTGTCGGAGGCTGGCCGAGTTCACAGCTGACTTTGGTCTCCACATGTCATGTGAGCCCTTTCTCATGAGAGGCTCCACTGCCCTAGGACTGCACAGTCTGTGCACCTTCTTGTCCAGCCGCCCACCCAGGGCTGTGATTAGCAAGGCTTGAAGGGGCTAGTACCTCACCCCGCTGCCCTCCCAGCACTGTTGCTGCTCTGCCTGGGGCTCTGGGTGAGGCAGCCGCACCCCTCACACCCTCAACCCTGTCACTCACCTCCCAGCTACCTCCCATCCCCAACAACGACGCTTGTACTGGAGGCCAACTCCTGCAGGTGGACTCCCACCGAGGCCAGCAGGCAGCACCCTCAGACCATCCTGGGCCCACGGCCAAGAAATCCAGCCACCAACCAGGAAGGAGAGACCAGGCTACTCGGGACACATTTGGGTGCAGATTGCGATTGTCCTGGCTGGGCCACACTGCGACCAGTCACTGTGGCCAGTCACTGCAGCCAGAGGTGGAATAACACCGCTGGGTCAACCTGGGCTGCTGTCCATCTTCTAACCAGGATGGGGCACTGAGGCCTCAGGGCACTGAACAGTCAGAGGCACCAAAGCACCACATTGCTCCCCATAGACATGTGCCATTATTATGTGTCCATTAAAAATGAATCTAACAACAATAACAATTCTAAAAGAAAGAGAGTGAGAGAACACTCACTGTCCCCTCTGACCCAACTGCCTTCCTCCTGCGCTTCCCGCCTCTCCTGCTCTCCTTCCCAGTCGCCTCCCTGCTCAGGGCTTGCTCTCCAGATTAGGCCTCAGGCCTTTCCTGCTCCCTAGGGTCAGTGGCCACGCCCACCACCCTGTCACTGCACACCAGGGCACCTGTGCTTTCCGACTTCCGCCTTTCTTCTGATGGTTTCACTCTGCACCAGTTCTATATAATCCACGTCGCCCCCCCCCCCACCATTTCATGGCCATATTTACCTATGGTACAAGTTGGGGTCATATTTACACTCATGTAAAAGACAGCTGGTGACAGTGTTGAGAAAACGGTGAGTGGTTTGCCTCCCCAAGTCAGAGGAAGGGAGGAGGTGGCCTGGCCGGTCCTGGTGCAGATGCCCAGCTTCACGGCCCCAGGCCACTGTCTCCTCACACCCCAGGGAGCATGGGCAAGCCATAGCGCTCCAGGCCTGAGCTGCTGACCCCTAGTCCTTAGGTCCTCAGGCGGGCCCCCTGGGTCCTCTTTCCCTCTGATGTCCCCCCTGGTGCCCTTACCCTCCAGCCTTGCAAGGTCTTCTTCTCAGGCCCTGTGCTCCTTCAGCAAAGTGTGCTGAGAAAAGCAATTTTTCAAAATCAACAGAAACAGATAGACTCTAATTGCTTTGTCTTAAATAGGCTTTTCCCTCTGTTTGGTACCAGTGGTTAGTGTCCTGTTCCCCAGCTCTTCACCAGCCCGCCTGCCTTGCCTTGATTTCCCTGACCTCCTGACCCTAACCCCAACCAAGAGGTTCAGAGAAACCCCATTTCCATTGTGTTTGGTTGCTCACAGGTAAAAAAGGACACACCATTCAGGAGGCAACCAACCTTCCCTGGTGGAGGATGTCTTAAAGTAACAGGACATGCATGGTGGTCAGCATCATATAACTGCTTGGAAGGGTGATTGATAGGAAAACACAGCAAAAAAATTTTTAAATGTCCCTTCCCTTCAACTAAAAAGGATTACCTTTTAGAGAATTTCTCCTAAGTAAATTATCAGTTATGATAAGTTGTAGAAGTATGTGGTAGAATCAAAGATGGTTAATAAAGTCCTGTTAGAATCTCAAATAATTGGAAATGTCCAAAATTAGGGGATTGGTTAAATAGTGGTGGTATGTCTATAAAAAGATTAATATGCTGCAGAAATGGGATAAAACTCAGAATATATTGCCAAGTGAAAAAATCAAGTTATAAAACAATATCTATGTGTGTTGTTACCCCCACATTTGCTTATTTTTAAGTAAGCATAGAAAAAATTCTGGAAGGTCTCTATTAAGGCATTGACAGGGGCTGGGGGTACAACCCAGTGGCAGAGTACTTTCCCAGCACAGTGAGACCCTGGGTTCAACCACCAGTACCACAAGGATTTAAAAAAGAACAGCTGGACTCAGTGGAGCCCGCCTCTAATCCCAGTGGCTCAAGAGGCTGAGGTAGGAGGATCAAGAGTTCAAAGCCAGCCTTAGCAACAGCGAGGTGCTAAGTAACTCAGTGAGACCCTGTCTCTAAATAAAATACAAAATAGGGCTGGGATGTGGCTCAGTGGTCGATTGTCCCTGAGCTCAATCCGCAGTACCAAAAAAAAAAAAAAAGCCACTACATCTTATTTTGTGTGTATTTTGGTGACAATGTAGAGCATATCATCATTTTTGGATTAGCCTAGGAAACTAACAATCTTAAAATTTTGTCTTTTGGTAAACTACCTCCAGATTTTGAAATACTAGCCCTACTAATAAATGTTCACACTACAGTCCATTTGTAAGTTAAGGACTTTTCATATTTGATAATAGGTGTGAAGGAAATTTAAACATTAACTCATGATCTTCTACAGTGCATCTGACAGGAGTGTCATAAATAAGTTATGGTGCTTTGCCTTGAAAAGAAAAGATAAGGCTTGAGCAGGTAGGGTTATAAGGCTTCTTTATGCTCTTCTTGCTTGCCCACATTTTCCCATTTTTCTCTAAGGATCGTGAATTAGTTGTGCGATCAAATGACATCAATAAGTGATGCTCTGACGATTCAGGGAGAGGTGTTTGTGTGAAGAGTGTCTGGCCGGCAACCTCATTATTGGATTGGCATCAGGGACAAAGACTGAGCTTTCGGCAACAACTTTGGCACCCCAGATGGGACCTAAGAGCAACCGCTGCTCCAGCTTTCCTGGGCA